GGTGTGCAAGCAAAGGAGATCAAGTTGCTGTGTGACAATACCAGTGCCATTGCCATCACTCAAAATCCTGATCTGCATTCGAGGACGAAGCATATTGAGATCAGACATCACTTCATCAGAGATCATGTGGAGAAGAAACACATTTCAATTGAGCATGTTCCAACTGAAGACCAGCTAGCAGATATCCTAACCAAACCTCTCTCTGAGGCAAGGTTTAACAAGCTAAGGGAAGAACTGGGAATGATGGATGATCTTCCCAGAGATACTTGAATCATAGTTACAGAAGTATCAGATGTGGATTCATCAGAACACCCCATCTCTGATACCCGAGCTCTTATCCATCAGAAGCTTGAATCAGAATTGCGACGATCAGACTCGCAAAAGTCAGGGTTGCAGAAAGGATCAGACTTGGTATTCATCAGAGGTCCTCGTATCAGAACATCTCTATCTCTGATACAAGGGCTAATATTTATCAGAGTGGCTATGGACTTATAAAAATTTTCTAAATTTCGGGCGAGACTATTCAATAAACTGGGTTTTACCTTTTTACCCCCGGTAGTTATTACCATTTTTGGAAAACGGCTTTCCGCCCGCATCCCATTAAATGCGACCTCGAAACCGCAAATTATATCAAACGTCCACTAACCCGAACTCATATATACTCAGTCTGTAAACCTAAACCGCCATTGCATCTCATCTCTCTTCGTATTCAAGCTCTCAGAACTCTCAAACCTTCAATATCTCAAAAATTCCTTAATCCCTACTCAAAATGAAGTTCATCAACATCACTGATCTTTCTGAAGCTGAAGCCAAGTCCTTAATGGCCAATATCGTCACCGGCATGAAAGTTGACATGTCATCTCTGCCGCTGTTAGCAGAGAACAGCAAAATCATGCGGAGAATCATTGAAGGGATGAATGACTCTCAGCTGACAAAGATTGTTGCTCACCCCTATGTGCACTTCAGCAATCTGGATGTGGCTGAGTTCTACCTCAACGCCTACATCTCCAACAACGCCATCTTCTCCCAGGTTCAGGGCAAGGACCTGAAGATAGATGCTGATGCCCTTAACGAGTTCTTCAACATTCAACTGGACTCTCAGGATGAGGACACCCCCAATCTCATTGAACTTGATGATGTGGACATCTCAGTCACCACATTTGTGCAGACCTACTGCCGGGATGATGCAACTGGAATAGATAGGCTGTACATGAAGAAGAACCAGCTCAAGAAGGACTATGAGCGCCTAATGAGCATCATGCACAGGTGTCTGTGGTGCAAAATCGGTTCAACTGACCAGATGAACAATGCAAATGCCAAAGCTATCTATGCAGTTCATCGTGGCATGAATATCAACTGGGGTCAAGTTCTTTTCAAGTCTATTTCTGAATGCATTGAGAAGAAGGATGCTGAGACTGGGAAATTCTCTACTAAGATGGGCCATGGACTTCTCATCTCCAGACTCATCACTAACGCCCAGATTGAACTCCGTGGATCTGCTCCAACCAACCACATGAAGACAATCTTCCTCACTGCATCTCCTAGAATGCATGTGGCCATTGCTGCAGAACTAAAGAAAACTAGCAAGCATGAGCAGAACAGGGAGAAAGTGGTTGAAAAACCGAAGGCTACCCCCAAGAAGATCACTACAAAGGCTGCAACCACCTCTGAACAGCCTAAGGCAAAGCCTGTTCGAACTCCAAAGGAGAAGAGAACTCTGAGATCTAAGATTGCTTCTTCTGAAAAGATTGCATCAGAGGAGGATGCATCAGACAAGGAGGCATCAGACTTGGCTCCTAAGGTCTCACCTCCCAAAAAGCAGAGGCAAAAGAGGAGACGAAGAGCTATTATCAGAAGTGACTCTGATGAATCTTCCTCTCAAACTAGAGAAAAGAAAAAGAAGAAAGAAAGCTCTTCTCCTCAGAAGTCAGAAACTCAGGGGGAACCTGAGCCGGAATCTCATCTCTCATCCTTACCAGACTTGCCTCTGATGGACCTATCTACAGACCATCAAGCATCTCCAATCAAGGACACTACATCAGAATTTCATGCTGCTCTGGACAGACAGTTTGAGCGTGTGCTAGCTTGGAGAGAGTGGAGAATGGGTCCCCTTCAGAAAATCCTTCAATTCTTCCCCTACTATGAAACTGAGGAAGCTGAAGTCCTCAAGTGGGTGGGAACAGACGATGTCTCCCAGTGCTTTGATATTGCATTCCTAGAAGCTGTTCTCGAGAAGAAGAAAGCCAACTGCAAAGGCAAGGCTGTTCTGATACCCAGCTCACCAGAGGAGCATGTTAAACCACTAGCTGATCATGAGATCCCCATCTTTGAAGAATGGCTGATGGAGAAGAAAAGGAGGGAGTCTCTGATAAAGATGAAACCCCTCCCAGGTGCAGAGGGAGAGCCATCAACTGTCAATGATCTAGCTCTGACAATGAGGAACCTTATCAGAGAATGGAGAGACTCTCAGTTTGAGGAAACCATTCTTGAGGTAATATCTAACTCTCCTCCTTCTATTGTTCAGAATTCACACCAGCTTGTTATCATTACCACCCCCATACCATCTCCTTCTAAATCCCCATCCCCTAAACCTACAACACCCACTTACACTCCATCACCCTCACCTCAACCTCCACAAAACTCACCCACTCCATCACCAAGGAAAACCCCATCTCCAGTCCATCAGAAATCCCCCTCTCCTCACAGAAGCCCAACACCCTGCAAACCCTTTACACCCATCAGAAACCGATCCCCTTCACCTCCTCCCTCTCCACAACATCAGAAATCCCCTAACTCTCATCAGACTTCTCCCCATCAGCAACCCAATCCTCAGAACTCTCCACCAGCTCCTCCACAGCAATCTTCTCCCCCCTCAAAGCAAGTACTCACCCTTGCCCAAGGCAATACTCCTGCACAATCCTTCATGGCTGACATAGAGCAGGTTGGACAGCAAATAGCCAAAGGAATGGAAAAGATTCTGGATGCTGAATATGAGACTGATGCTCATCTCATCAATGTCAGCAATCATCTATCCAAGGGCATATCCTTACTGCTGAAACATGTAGGCATCATTGCCACAGCCTTTGAGGCTCACGAGGATAAAACTACAGAAAATCTGAGCAACATTGCTAAGGAGGTGGATGGAATCTCTGCTGTGTTATTTCATCACACCAAGGTCCTTGAAGAGCAAGACAAAGCCATCAAGAGTATCTCTGACTCAGTTGATGATCTCCAATGGTCCTCTGATAAAGCTCGTGAGGAAATTCAAAATGTTGAAGGTCTATGCAAGGACACTAAAGAACTCACCGTTAAGCTGATCAATAGTGGAAAGGACAAAGATCACAAGTTGACTCTCCTTGAAGCTACTACAAAAGATATTCAGTCTGCTGTAGATAAACAGAAGGAGATTATTGAAGGTCTGGCCTCTGTAACCCAGACTCTGCCAAGTGCCCTTGAAGTCATCAAGGAGAATCAGGCCTCCGAATTCTCTAAGATTGGCCTCCTGCTTGGTGATCTTGCTGATGCCAAAAAGGGGGAAGATAGAAATGAACAGATCAGAACTGCAGAAGGATCAAGCACCAGAGCTCTGACTCCCATCTCTGGTACCCCTGATCCTGCTATATACTTTGAGAAGACTAGGAAGAAGCAGATTGCTGCTGGTATTCAAAGACCTCCTCCTCCTCGGTCCAAGAAAGGGAAGAAATCAGCTGCTACCACCTTTACACTACAACAATGGCTCAACAGTGACCTAGCCAAGCCTGATGCTGCCCAGTTCCAAGAAATGAAGAAACATATGACTCCCTATCAAAAGGAAAATCTGATCCTAGATAAGGATGGGCTGATAATCATTAACCATGGTGGCTCAATGCAAGAAGCAGAAGACTGGTGGCGAATGAAAGTGATCCCTGGCAAGGACTTATCAGAAGCCATCAGAAATTATCTTGATTGCAAGCTTGAACCTGCTTGGTCAGAATGTCAGAATCCAAGGAACTTAGCCTCCATCAGAACAAAGGTAAATGCACTTCTAAAGGAAATTGAAGCGAAGGAAGCTCAACTAGAAGAGGAAGATATCTAAACTCTATCCTCTTGTTGCTTTAAATATCCTTTATTAATAAGATAACCAGCTTGCCTCTATTTTGCATGGCAATTTCAAATATTTGCATTCTGTTTAATTTATGCTCTGATACCTTGTGTTATTTCTTATTTTGCTTATCTGATTGATTGTATCTTACTCTTACTATTTTCCTATGCCAAGTGCCCACCAAGATTCTAAATGAAAGTTTATTTTTAACTTATTTTCCTTCATGGTGAAAGGCACTTCTCTGGAAATAGTTTAAGGGTTTTGGCATCATCAAAAAGGGGGAAATTGTAAGGAATAAATGTAATTAGATTTTGATGATGCTAGGATGTTTAGATTAGAATTTTAAAGTACCCCCAAATTAGATTTCATGTATTAGTATTTTCTGATGTAAGTATTAGTATAGTCGGCAATCAGAGTTGCTCTTCTATGGATCTGATCAGAGCTGCTATGAGAACTGCTTTCAGAGTCGCTCTTGGAAATCATAAGAGTTGCTCATCAAAGAACCATCAGTGTTGCTCTTCAGAAACTCGTCAGTAGTCTACATCAGAAAGACATCAGAGTTCGATGAATAGCTTCATCAGAACTCAACATCAGACAAGCATCAGAATTCGCACACCAGAGCTCGACTTGAAGCCACATCAGAGCTACTCTTCAGAAAGCCATCAGAATCTAACGTATCAGAAGACTCCGATCAGAGTCCGACTAATACTTAGAAGAATTTCAAAGCTACTTCCAACGGCTGGGAAATTCATCAACGGCTAGAAAATTGTGCATGAAAGGAAAGCTCTTAAATGCACATTAAATGAGCCTGATACGCTTTGGATTTATTGCAAATGATTGACCGAGGAATCCGGGAAGGTATATTATAAAAATAGAAACCTTCCAAAACGGCGGTCAAGTCAACAGTACGTGCATTTAATGCAGTTGTCTCCTCCTCCAACGGGCAGACAACCTCAGTATATAAGCTACACGAAGAAGAACAAGGAAGACAACTTTTTGCTCTGAACTTCATACTACAAGCATTCTTGAGATTCAAACTCCACAACACAAAACAAGAAAAAGCTTACGTTGGGAAGATTCAACCTCACAATCTCTCATCCCCAACAAGAGCAAAGTTGATAGACAATTTATAAGTCCTCGCAAGTGCACGAGTCGCAGTAGTATAGTGCTCAAGTAAGGGTCGAATCCACGGGGAAAATGCAACTAAGTAATTGGAAAGCTATTAATTAATAAAAATAAAAGTGAAATTAATCTAACTAAAAAAAATCAATTTTGAATTTGTTTGATTTGAAACTGAAAAGTAAAGCTTGAATTAAAATGGATGCAAGGAATTTAAATGAATGAAAATAAAATGATTGAACAACTAACGGGAAAACAATTGTGAACTTAGCAAGATAAAAGGTAGTCCAGGATTATGAATCAGTCGCTAATTTTTAGTATTTGTGATTTAGTTAGTTAATTAGAATTGAGGGTTCGTTCTAGGCAAAAATATGACTATTCCGTATGGCGTCCAGAATAAGTCACGTACTTTAACTATTAATCAATAGGAAATAATTAATTCAATAGTTAAAATCCATTAATCACAAAAGAACTACGGAAACCCGATTTAAGAACCAAATAGATAACCTAACAAGACAGCCAAATTATCTATTCTTTTATCCAAAAGAGCTCGAATTAATAGGCATGGCATGTACTCTATTAATCCACTCAAACAACTTGATTAGTCATATTAAAATTGGCCAAAAATTAACACAACAAATTAAGCGAATAAGAACAATGGATAAAACTCAACCAATTGACATAACTAAAATCACAATCTTATACTAAATCATAGCAACTTTATCATACTCCTGGACTAAGAAATTTAGCTACTCATAGAAAAATAAACTAAGACAATAAGAGTATAGCAATTTATTCCAATCATCTAAAAAAAATACCGAATAGCTGTAAGCATTTAAAGTTGTAAGAAGCAAATTCAGAACTTAAACTAGTGTATACGGAGAATTTAAATAGAAACTTGAAACCAGAATCGGTGCTGCCTTAGAGAAATCAGGAATTCAGCAAACTTCTTTCGGTCCCAACCAGTTTGGCGGAGATCATATGCTGAACAGCAACACTAAACCTCCAACCTTCCTCCTTCAGGCTGCTATGAGCGACTCAGCAGCCCCGACTGTCCGGCTTCAGCTCTCCCTCCTGGCCGCCAGAATCCGCTCCGTTACTGCCGAATAGATGGATCTGCCCCCAAAAAGAATAGAGCCCCCGACCCCTCAACCCTCTCCAGCTTCCTTTGTTCTTGGGCCTTTTCTCTCTTTTTTTTCTTCTTCCTGGATTTGGGTTGCTGGTGCCGTACAAGTCAAGAGGAGTAATCCTCTTTTATTTAGCTACGTAAGAGTATCTTGGTTTTAATAAACTTCAGCTCCAATTCCAATTATCACATATGGGCTGCTAAGTTCACAAGATTTGGCCTTATTTGCAATTTTTCCACTTTAAATGAGTCATAGATTTGGAACTCCACTTCAGACAACTCCATCAACTTGTCATCTTCTCAATTTAGCCCAAATAAATCTCAAATTCTTCCACTAAAACCCCTGCACTCTAAAATTCATTTTTAACACAAAATATAATTCAAACCTCTCAATTAGGCAAATAATAAGCATAGAATTATAATAAAGTAATATGAAAATGAAGCACAAATTCTAGCTCATCAAACTCCCCCACACTTACATTTTTCTTGTCCTCAAGGAAAATTAATATCAAGAAACCAAATCAGCTACAAGTGATCAAAATCCCCTTTTACTCACCAAGCATACCAACATTCCCTTCCATTACAAGATAACCCCAAGAAATTCGAATCAAGTATCCACCACAAAGCCCAACTCAGAAGGCAATTACCAAGTCTCACATGTCATTAATAGAGATGTATTTTACAATTCTAAATGACCTAGTGAGATGCTCAAGAAACTTTCCAGAATTCATGCAAAATCCAAAGCCAATCAGTCAACACTCTATAGTCATCATGCACTCTTCCTTCCACCTTATCAAAGCACAACTTGATCAAGATCACTTAGGACTTTTATTGGGTTGTAACGTGGTGATGGGTGATGGTTTATGAAAGAAAGGATGTGGTGATTCAAAACAAAGGAGAAGACATTTTTTTTTATACCAAACTGATCCTAGGAAGAGTTCAAAAATATGATAAAGGAGCACAAAAAACTATTACAACAATCAACCGGCTTCTACGACAATGGAGTGCATACAGAAAGTGAAAAGAATACAAACTTCAACTCAACTCATCTTTTTTTTTCTTTTTTTTATCACTTTTTTTTTCGTATTTTTCTTTGCTTTTTTTTTTCAGCTCTTTTTTTTTTTTGAATGCTACATCAACACTACTTCTAAAAGGAAACGTCAAGCTGCCAGAAGTATATTACATATACAATCTGCCGGAAAAAGAAATGCTCCAATAAGATGAAAACTCTTCCAAGTCACAATTTAAGTAAAAAAAATGTCAACTCAAGGGTGAGGGAAAATTTTTGGCTATTTGGGCTCGGGTAAATAATGATAGGTTATCACAAAGAAATTATTAGTCAAAAGCACGGTATAATGCTTTAAATCAAGTAGGCTCAAAGGGGTAGCAAGCGGAAATAAAATGCAAAGGGTAGGCTAAAAGTCTCGGGTTATGAAAAATGGCCTAGATCACTTCTCAATCAATTTGCACTATAACTTAGCTTCCAAAAGAGCAACAAGACAAGTTCTATCATGCTAGCTAAAAGTCAAAGGACTCACACTCTTTCCAAGAACGTTCAAGATGCATCCTAAAAGATCATAAAGAATTGAAAAGTACATCAAAATTAATGACACAAGAAGCTAAGAAATTGACTCCAAGTAAAAACAATGTGAAGAACTCAATCAAATTCAAGAGAATATCTATCATGGAAACCACCAATCATACCACATACCAATGAAAGGGAAAATTTTCACAACTTGAAACCAAAAAGTAATCCTGAAATTACATTTCCCTCAAATCCAAGCAAGAAAAACAGTTTTTTTTTTCTGAATTTTTTTCTGCAGTTTTCTTTTTTTTTTTTAACTAAGATAGAACTAAAAAAAAATGAGAGCTACTCCTCCCCCCACACTTATTTTAAACAATATGCACAATGAATGATTAATAAAAAAGAAAAAGAAAAAGATACTCCCTGAATGCACTTCAAACGAAAACAGTAACCTCTTGAAATAAAACTTGCTCAAAAGAATCTTCACTGCTTGAATAGCTCCTCACTCTCTCACCATTCACTTTAAAAATATTCCCAGATTTTGGATTTTCAAGCTCAATTGCACCATCGGGAAAAACTTGGCGAATCACATACGGACCAGTCCACTTAAACTTTAATTTTCCTGAAAGAAATCTTAAACGAGAGTCAAGCAATAACACTTTAATTCCAGGTTTAAAATCCTTCCTCAAAATGGACTTTTGATGCAAACAATTAATGCACTTCTTGCAAACTTTCTCTTTCTCAAAAGCATGATTCTCAAGACCATCTTCCTGTGACTTGTCTAGAGAGACACTCGGATTAAGAATATCAAGTGCAAAACATGAATTAGAATCAGCAGGCATACTCATGGATTTCAAAATGGAAAACTCAACAGTTTCATCAAGCACACTCATAGTCAATTTTCCATTTTGAACATCAATCATGGTTTTTGTCGTGACCATAAAAGGTCTGCCAAGTAAAATTGGCATATCTTTCACATATTTGCAATGATCATCCATATCCAAAACCACAAAATCAGCTGGAATGATCAACTTATCCACTTGAACTAAAACATCCTCTACAATGCCCCTAAGATATCTGATAGAGCGATCAGCAAGCTGTAGGGACATAGTAGTGGATTTTAGCTCATTCAGCCCTAATTTCAAGTAAACAGAATAAGGCATCAAATTAATACTTGCCCCCAAGTCAAGCATTGCTTTTTCAGATTTAGAATTCCCTAAATTAATGTTGATTATAAAACTGCCAGGGTCCTCTAATTTCGGGGGCAAATCTTTTTGTAAAACATCACTAACAGCCTTAGAAACAAAAACTTTTTCATTTGGTTCATACCTACGCTTTCTAGTGCTCAATTCTTTCAAAAACTTAGCGTAGGCAGGCATGTTTTTTATCATGTCAAGAAGAGGCAAGTTCACATTAACTTTGGACAACAACTTATAAATCTCTTCAAAAGAACTGTTAAGCTTAGAACTTTTTAACCTGTTTGGAAAAGGAACGGGTGGAACATATGGCTTAGGCGGCACATATGGATCTTCAGCTTCGTGCAGCCCGGTCTCCTCATTCACTGATTCAGCTTCAAGTTCTTTATTTTCAGCTTCTACCTCTTCCGGTGGCTTCAAAATGGGCTGCCTTTCATCTTTCTCAATTATCTTCCCACTCCTAAGAACTGTGACAGCTTTTGCCTCCTCAATGTGGCTCGGTAACTTCCCTTGCACGTGTCCTTGGAGAGATTCAGCAATCTGTCCAACTTGTACTTCTAGCTTCCTCAAAGAGGCCTCGGTGCGCTGAAAACGCTGCTCATTTGCTTGCTGATTTTGGGTGCAGATTTGCATGAAAGTTTGCAAAGTATCCTCCAAAGCAGGCTTCTTCTGTAAAGGTGGTGGCTGGTTGCTTTGTTGTGTGTTACTCCATGAGAAATTAGGATGGTTCCTCCAACCGGGATTGTAAGAGTTGGAGAATGGATCATTTCTTGGCCCATGATTGTAGGAGTTCATCATGTGGGCTTGCTCAAAACCACCTTCAGGTACTGCATTCACAACAGGAGTAGACATGCTCATTGTTGTCATCACAGTGCACATGTTCTTCATTTGTTTAGAGAGCTCAGATATCTGGATGGCCAATTCTGTACTTGCACCCACTTCATAAATTCCTGGAGTCCTGCCTCTCACACTCTTCTGCTGGGAATTAGCTCCAAGCATCTCGAAAAGCTCTAATGTTTGTTCCGCGGTCTTCTCTCCCATTGCTCCTCCAGCTGCGTTGTCAACAATAGCTTGACATCCTTGGTTTAAACCGTCATAAAAGGTCTGATTCTGGAGCGCCAATGAATAACCGTGGTGTGGACATTGAGTGAGCAGCATCTTAAATCTCTCCCACGCCTCATGAAATGGCTCACCTTCAGCTTGAGTAAAATTGGCAATTTTTCTTCTTAATTCTGAAGTTTTTGACTGAGAATAATACTTGCCAATGAATTTATTGTAGACATCAGCCCATGTGCGCAAGGAACCAGGTGTTAAAGACATAAACCATGTCTTAGCAGCATCTTTGAGAGTGTACGGAAAGCACCTCATCCTCAGCTCATCTTCACTCACTCCTTGCAAGGGAAAATTTTGGATGATGCCGTAGAAATCTCGGATAAAGATCAGCGCATCCTCAGAAGAAAGCCCATAGAAAGATGGCAGTTGGTTATAGTGGACCGTCTTTAGATCATAATTCCGGGCAGCCTCACTTAGTACAATGCAGGACGGGGAGACACCTACAGTTGGTCTCCCAAACTCTTTCATAAGTTGCGCGTCACCCATTGTTGGATTAGAAGCAAATTCGAGCTTCCTTTTTCTTCTTTTGCCAATTAAATCAACTTGGTCGTTCAGCGGAATAAAATCTGGATTAAGTGACCTGCGACCAAGCATACAAAAAAAACGAAAAAAAAAGAAAAACAAACACAACTAACTAAAATAAAACATAATTAACAATTTTCCAAAAAACTAGTTAAACAAATTCCCCGGCAACGGCGCCAAAAATTGATAGACAATTTATAAGTCCTCGCAAGTGCACGAGTCGCAGTAGTATAGTGCTCAAGTAAGGGTCGAATCCACGGGGAAAATGCAACTAAGTAATTGGAAAGCTATTAATTAATAAAAATAAAAGTGAAATTAATCTAACTAAAAAAAATCAATTTTGAATTTGTTTGATTTGAAACTGAAAAGTAAAGCTTGAATTAAAATGGATGCAAGGAATTTAAATGAATGAAAATAAAATGATTGAACAACTAACGGGAAAACAATTGTGAACTTAGCAAGATAAAAGGTAGTCCAGGATTATGAATCAGTCGCTAATTTTTAGTATTTGTGATTTAGTTAGTTAATTAGAATTGAGGGTTCGTTCTAGGCAAAAATATGACTATTCCGTATGGCGTCCAGAATAAGTCACGTACTTTAACTATTAATCAATAGGAAATAATTAATTCAATAGTTAAAATCCATTAATCACAAAAGAACTACGGAAACCCGATTTAAGAACCAAATAGATAACCTAACAAGACAGCCAAATTATCTATTCTTTTATCCAAAAGAGCTCGAATTAATAGGCATGGCATGTACTCTATTAATCCACTCAAACAACTTGATTAGTCATATTAAAATTGGCCAGAAATTAACACAACAAATTAAGCGAATAAGAACAATGGATAAAACTCAACCAATTGACATAACTAAAATCACAATCTTATACTAAATCATAGCAACTTTATCATACTCCTGGACTAAGAAATTTAGCTACTCATAGAAAAATAAACTAAGACAATAAGAGTATAGCAATTTATTCCAATCATCTAAAAAAAAATACCGAATAGCTGTAAGCATTTAAAGTTGTAAGAAGCAAATTCAGAACTTAAACTAGTGTATACGGAGAATTTAAATAGAAACTTGAAACCAGAATCGGTGCTGCCTTAGAGAAATCAGGAATTCAGCAAACTTCTTTCGGTCCCAACCAGTTTGGTGGAGATCATATGCTGAACAGCAACACTAAACCTCCAACCTTCCTCCTTCAGGCTGCTATGAGCGACTCAGCAGCCCCGACTGTCCGGCTTCAGCTCTCCCTCCTGGCCGCCAGAATCCGCTCCGTTACTGCCGAATAGATGGATCTGCCCCCAAAAAGAATAGAGCCCCCGACCCCTCAACCCTCTCCAGCTTCCTTTGTTCTTGGGCCTTTTCTCTCTTTTTTTTCTTCTTCCTGGATTTGGGTTGCTGGTGCCGTACAAGTCAAGAGGAGTAATCCTCTTTTATTTAGCTACGTAAGAGTATCTTGGTTTTAATAAACTTCAGCTCCAATTCCAATTATCACATATGGGCTGCTAAGTTCACAAGATTTGGCCTTATTTGCAATTTTTCCACTTTAAATGAGTCATAGATTTGGAACTCCACTTCAGACAACTCCATCAACTTGTCATCTTCTCAATTTAGCCCAAATAAATCTCAAATTCTTCCACTAAAACCCCTGCACTCTAAAATTCATTTTTAACACAAAATATAATTCAAACCTCTCAATTAGGCAAATAATAAGCATAGAATTATAATAAAGTAATATGAAAATGAAGCACAAATTCTATCTCATCAAAAGTTCATCCTGTTCTTCAACACTTCAAGATCCTCATCAAACATCTTTTATAACGAAGCAAGTTGGAGGAAAAACTTTGTGTTTTTCAAAGGATCTTCTGAAAAGAAGGGCGTCCAAGTAACTGCAGTAGTGAAGTGGTGATACTTCCGGGAAGCTGAGTTAAAGGACCAGCCATCAGGACGTGGAATTGCATCCTGGGTGGCATCTAGACTTGAAGAAGACGAGGAGTGCTTCTTAAGTGCTAGGGATTAGCTTTGTAACCGATCTACTTCAAAGCTAGTGGAACAGTGGACTAGAGGAACGCGTTGTTCCTTGAACCACTATAAAAATATCCGGTGTCATTTACTTTACTGCAATTTATATTTTTGCACTTAGGACATTAACTGATTAACTCTAAGACTTGGAATCTGTGTTCAGCAGATCTTGTTTTCAGAGTTATCAGAAAGGCATTTGCCTTAGTGTTTCTGAGGCTACCCGGACAGATCAGAATCCGCTGCCAAGGCCAGTTCTGATATCAGAACCAGCCTTTCTCTATCACCAGAATCAAACCTTCTCTGATAAGTCAGTTTGGACTTTGAGAAAAATTTGAAAAATCAATCAGTCTATTCACCCCCCCCCCCCCCTCTAGACTGATTACCATATTAAACGGGACCAACATCTCCATGAATCTCTCGGTCAATCATCTGCAATTACTCCACAGCGTATCAGGCTCATTAAATGAGCATTAAATGCTTTCCTTTGATGAAATATCTTCTAGCCGTTAGGGAATTTCCCGTTAGTTATACGGTCGTTGAAAGGTAGCATCGAATTCTTCTAAGTGTTTGATGGCTGAAGAGAATCTCTTATTAGCAGTTCTCAAGTCGGGCTCTGATGGTTCTCTGATAGCTATTAAGGGCAGCTCTGGTAGTAGCTCCGATGCTTCTCTGAGGAGCAACTCTCATGGAGCAATTCTCCTGGCAACTCTGATGTTTCTCTGAAGAGCAACTCTCATAGAGCAGTTCTCCTGGCTACTCTGATGCTTCTCTGAAGAGCATCTCTCATAGAGCAGTTCTCCTGGCTACTCTGATCAGAAGTACCAAGAGGATCTCTGGCCCGTCGACTATGCTAATACATACAAAGAAAAATTCTAATACAAAATTTCTATAAGGGGTACTTTAAAATTCTAATAAATCCTAGCATCATCAAAATCTAAGTACAATTATTCCTTACAAAACGTGGTATGAAATAAAATTATGTAACTAGTACTTGTGGTAAGGTGCACTGCCGTTCTAATTTTGTAAGTGATAAATGAAAATTACAAGGCTAAGCAACATTTTGTGCAGATAAATATGTTTGTGAAGTACATGGATTCAAGGAATATGATGAGCAAATCTGATAAAGTGAGGAAGGCAACACCGAAGAGGCTAGGAATGGAGTGGAGGCAGACGAAGAACATTTATGACTATGGCATCTTCACAATGCGGCATATGGAGACATATCAAGGTCAAGGCTTGCAAAGATGGAATATTGGGCTGAAGGAAACCAACACCAAGCTGGCTGGGACGTTACGCGTGAAGTACATTTCTGCAATTCTCCTGAATGAGAAGAATGAGTACATGCATTCAAACTTGCTGAAGGCAAAGAATTTTCTCAAGAAAGCTAAAGAAGAGAATGAAAAGGTGGGAGAGAAGAAGAAGGGAGCAGCGCCCAATTAATCAATTCAGCGAAATTTGAAGTTGACATCAGTTTGACTATATTAAAATTACAGTTTACAATGACTTATTCACATTTTTTTAATGAAAAACATATTTATGCTTACTATTTTTGTGTGAAAGTTGATGTTGAATAGAGTTGGTTTTAATATATGTTCCAGGTTTTTGTGTGAAAGTGGATGTTGAATAGAGTTGGTTTTAATATATGTTCCAGGTTCACATGAGTTTATTTTAATTGGATTTATGCTTGTATTTAATTTAATTTAAATTGAAGTATGCTTGGTTTAAAGTTAATTTAATTTAAATTGAATTATAGCTTGGATTCCAGGTTCCGGCATAATATTTGTGTGTGAAAGTTGACGTTGATTGTACTTGGTTTTAATATATGTTCCAGGTTTACACGAGTTTATTTTATTTGAATTTATGCTTGTAGTTAATTTAATTTGAATTTCATAACATCCTATATTTCGAAATGGTAATTACTTTTGCATGGGATACGTTTTGTCCATGTACAGAATACAAAGTAATTTATAATGAAGCTTTGTAAATGCATGGTGCACTTGAAAAAACTTAGAAATAACTTACTTAGATTCAATTTTTATGGTGCAAAAGACATTACGTAAAGCTGCAATTGAACTGTGAAATAAATGCCGAGTGGGTTTGTTTTCAAATGCTTTCTCTAAAATAAGAGGGAATCCACCATCTACGCAACTCAAACATGTGACAAAACCAATCATGTGCTGTCAAGCCATACTCTTCCATGAGTGATGTCCACTTATCTTCAAACTGGGTTGTGTCAAGATAATGGCTCCACACAATTGAATTCAATGATGACATAAAAGCTTCATTATTACTTAAGATCGGACCTACCTTCTGTGTCACTTTTGACATAATGTGCCACATACAGTACCGATGTTTGGAAGCTGAAAATACCTTCTCAATTGCAATGCGCATAGCTGGGTCTTGGTCTGTAATAATGCATGTCGGTTCACGTCCCATTGCATGCATGAAGCGTGTGAAAAGCCAAGTGTAGGAATCCACATCCTCCTTGGCTAACAAATCGGCGCCAAACGTAATGCACTTTCTGTGATTGTCAACGCCCGTGAAAAGGACCAAAGACCATATTGTACCTGCCAATATAACAAATACAATGTACAAATCAGAATCCAAATAATAGGTGCATAATGCAGTTATGACAGATGCAAACAACATACGGTCAAAGTGCATAGAATTTAAATAATTAAATAAAATTGAAAAATTAGTTAGGAATTGAAAAAACAAACTTATTTGTTCCATACGTAGCATCAAATGAAATAACATCACCAAACAGTGCATAGTTCTTGCGGCAAATGGGATCCACCCAAAACAATCTTGTGAGCTGGTCTTCTTCATCAACATCATAATCAAAGAAAAAAGCAGAGCACACTTCTTGTTTCCTGAATAACTTATCGATGATCATTTGGGCATCGACTCCAGATATGTAGGCCATAAGGTCGCGCTTAAAGTTCTTAAAATCTACAGCAGTCGCGCCAATGCTAGAATAACCCCCTACAGTCTTCTTATACAACTTATATGATTTCTTTGTACCAATATTTGCTCTAAAACAATTCAATACAAACTTTTGGTGACCAAGATCTAAATTCCTATTGACTCTTAGGAATTGTTTTGACTGTTCAGAACACATGGAATGATTGTGACGCTCCTCAAACGCAAAGACAGAGAAACCATCACTACCGGCAAATTTTAGAGTTAAAAGTGTTTTGCATCCAACTCTATTTGACACACGTTTTCTATTCTGCCTAATACCCTTGGATGTAGAAGCACCATTATTGACGACAGCGGGGACAAGGGAACACCGGGGACACCGGGGACAGTGGGGACAGCGGTATTAACAACAGTACTACGACCATTGTTCTTATACCTCGCTCTACTACATATCAAATACTTCAACATAGGGTGACCATCCTTGGCCTTCGTTAATGTATGAAAATGAACCGTGAAACCCACCTCAGCTGCATGCCTGCATATGCTTTGTAAAAATCAATGCCAACTTGTAGATTGGGAAAGAGCATGCCAACAAAAGGTTTCTTATTCGGTTGACATTCAGGAGTTCAATACTTTGTAGAACCATGATAAATTTCTAAATTACATTTCACACCTATATAAAGAAAAACACAAAATAAATTATAAACTTAGAGATTAAAAAACAGATAACAATAAACATCTTTGAAATTCGAACTGCACCATGATTAAAGTATTTCTGCATGTTAGCTACGAAGTCTGACTACGAGAAAAATATGACAAAAAATAAAACTATGTTTGTAAGCAAGCGATGTAAACGTACTATGATTCCTTGTGCATGCAAAACGCAGACCATAAACAACAACCATGAATTTCGCATAAGTGTAATGTGACACTAACATTGTTAATTACTTTATCAATTTTCATTTTAAATAAATAGCACATCATAATCTCCAAGTCTTAGGCGTTAAATGTGAATTGAGATTTTTTGGAGTCAAACACAATTCAGACGCAATTTGTTGGTATTCAAAAATGTTTTAGGAATTTTATTTTGTATTCAAACAAAGATAATAGAACCGCACTGATAGCCGTTATATTTACTTGTGTTTAACATAAGTATTTATAAGTATTTGTTGAAGAAAAGAAGAGGAATCGGGCAAATACCTCCAGAATGAGAGCTAGAGCATAAAACATTGCGATGAACGACTTTTTGGACCAAGAGAATGACGTTCTGCCCATACTTTAAGTATAACTTATTCTATAGAACTCGAAATCACTCGATTCAAGTTTCATGTGAATGCTAACTCAATAAGGTACAAATGTTATGAAGACGTCATGGCCAAAATATGAAAGGAACAAGACTTAATCAACCAACAAAGTCAGATGTTGCTGGTGGGATTTCAGGATGCATACCTCTCAGTGTTTTATCCATATCTTTTGATTGGCTGAATAAAATCACGTCATTCAAGTTTTGGTGGATAGAAGACTTCATTAGCTACAACTTTGATGAAGGACTCATGTCCAAATTTGTAGCGGAACATCCCCAAAATCCCAGGACAAAACTGGCGCCGGAATTTCACCAAACCAGCGCCGGTTGCATTTAATCCGTTATTCTCCCGGTCGGCCGACGTATAACCGGCGCCGGTTTTCCCCTATAACCGGCGCCGGTTATGGTGTTTTTCACTATTATTCCAGCCCCGAAGTAAAACCAGCGCCGGTCAAGCCTAAAATCGGCGCCGGTTAAGCCCGAATCTGCAGAATACAAAGAGACGTGCAACC